ATCTGAGTGGGAGGTCTCCCAGGACTCTTCAGGGGATGGGGAGAGATAGTGCTGACCATGTGCTGACCATCTTCAGGCTACTAGGGGACACAGACTGGTTGGATTTACAAGAGTCCCTCGTTCCTCAACTACAGTGGATGGCAGCTCCTTAAAGGAAGTGTCTGTGCTGTGTTGGAGCTTGTTTTCAGAAAGTGCTGCATGGTTTCTGCTTTTCCCATCCAGAAGTTGTCTTAACCTGGAAGCAGTTTGTCTGCTGTGCTCCAGAATAAAGAAGGATGCATATGGCTTGAGTCTCTTCCTAGAGTCAAGGCCCATGAGTTAACATAAGAGGAACTCGTGCCACTCAGACCTTCATTGCTGCAGGGGTTGGGACCTCCAGGGAGCCCCAAGGACTTGGGGGGAACACACTCCCTCTCTGTAGTGATGGAGGTCATCCTGGCAACCGTGTCACCTTGGTCAACACTGTGACTGCATAGCTAATTCAGAATGGGACAGTGTATTTGGTCTAAAGCTGCCTTCCTGCTGGAAGGACCTGCTCCCTGGCCCAGGGTCCCCAGACATATCCCCTAGTCCTTGAAGAAGGCAAGAGCTACTGTGGCGCTTGGTCTCACTGCTGCCCCACATGCCTCTCGACTAGCACCAGGCTTGGTGCCTATCATGTTGGGGATAGGATGGGCTCAATATGGGTTTCTTAGGCAGCTCTGGGATCTGGGCTGGGGCCCGACAGACTAGACTGCTCGGAGGTGGAAGGGCCCAGACAAGAAGACCACACCCCTTCCTGACTGGAGAATTTCATCCAGGGCCTCTTGATTCATTTGGGAAGCTTGACGGCCATCCGTCTGAGAAAAACTCACATGCCCAAACCCCCTGGCTCTCCCAGTGGAGGGTACAGGCCTAGCTTAGACCTCAGCCTGAGTGTCAGCCAACTGAAGGCAGAGAGTATAGATTGCAAGTCCATTGCACTGTCTTGTTCCTTCCTCACCTCAGCTCTGGTCCCAAGGAGGGAAAGGGAGGGAAAGGGAGCGCACAGGGCCAGTGACAGGGCTGTTCTGTTAGGGTTCTGGTGCCTAGCCTGATCTCTCCCAGGCCTGAGTGTACACAGGGCACATAATTTTTTCTTCTTTCTGACTTGAGTGCTTGTTTAGGGGGGTCCCAGACACACAGTTGCTGTTGCCCCCACTCGCATAGTGCTGTTTGCTCCTCAGGTCCCTGGCACCACTTTGCTCTGTTCCCTCTCCATCCATGTGTCTACTGCAGCCTGTGGGTACCACGTAGGACAGCCCCTTGTGAAGCCTTGAGGAAGAGCAGGGAGGCAGCCTGACCTCTGATGGCTGTCCCTGCCCCCACCTCTAAGGTGACACATCCTCCCTGCCAGGTGGGATGTCCCAGATATCAGGTGACTGGTCTCCTCTGAAGGGGTGGGCAGCCTGGACTAGCTGGATGTAAGAAGTGCTACATTGTCTTGGCAGTGCCCCTGTATCCAGAGGAGAACCTAGCCCTGTGAGCTGTGCTGCATGTGCAGCCTGCAGTCACTGGCCATTGCTCTCGTGCACCAAGCAGCCAGGTGCCCACTTGGAAAGCACTGGGCTGGAATAGCAGTTAGGGGTCACCAGGGCCCCAGTGGGCACTCCATGTCTACCCAGTTACAGAGGCCTCACCTTGTGGATCAGGGGTCACTGCAGATATAGCATCTGCCCTGTAACCACCCTCAGCTCTGACTTTCCTGGAGGCTGTGTATTTGCCTCCTGGCCCCACATTCACCTCCTAGCCCAGACTGCAGGCAGCCTGTCAGGCAGGCACTCGAGTGCTCTTGCCTCTTTGCAGGTAGACAGACTGGATGCCTCGGAGAGCCTACGTAAGCAAGAGGAACATGTGGTGGAGCCCACCCCTCTCTTGTTTGGTAGGTAGCACCCCATTGCCCCTAGTCCCCTGTTCCTAGGGAGGGAAGAGTAGGGAAAGTGATTCCCTGACTGGGCTTCAGTCTCTGATGAGAGGGGATGGACAGGGTGGGGGACAGAAAGACCACATGGCTGCTGGGTGTGGGGAAGGTCAGTGTATCCAGGAATGTTGAAGAAGCATGGCCATTGTCCTCCATTTCCTGAGGGCACCTGCCTTCTGTGAGGGTGCCCTTGCCTGTTCCTTGTGCCTAGCAACTGCCCAACTCTGAGCCGCTGCTGTGTGCTGCTCTGCCTGGTCCCAGGCAGCAAGGCTGCTGGTGGCTTTGACTTGAGAGCCTGCCTGGATGGCCTGGCTGTTGAGCAGACAAATTGGTTGGTGTCCACTGCACCAAGGCGCTTTGGGTTCTGGAGTGCATTGCAGGACTAACAAAGGCCTGAGGGTGTGGTGAGCACGCAGCATGTGAGCCTGGTCTCAAGTCTCCTGCCAACTGTGTCTTCTTCAGGGTCATTGTGCCCCTATCACCACCACCATTAATGTCAATCTGGTTTTTTTAGATTTTGATGGGCATGATTGAGACCCAGCCAGTTGAGCTAAGTAAGTGTCCCGTTTTGGGACTAGCTTACCCTCTAGCCTGGCCAGCCTCTGTGGCTGGCCCCACAACAGCAACTCCCACTGTCCTTGCCCCCAGGCACCTGTTCTCCAGTGCCTGAACCTTGGGTGGTCAGGGCTGGTCTGCCATGCTGCTCCTTGGGCCCCTGTCCTCTCCAGGGCAGCAGGAGCTCTGCTCACCCTCTGCTTCTCCCTCTGCAGGCCAGCAGCTGATGCTGACAGCAGGCCCTGCTGCAGGCCCTGCCCCTGCTGGCTTCCCCTATGGATATGCTGCTGCACCTGCCTTCGCCCAGCCTCCTGTGTACGGCTTCAGCGTGTAGTGGGCACTCAGCGGCAACATGCCTCTATGGGGTTATTAACCTCAAGGAGCATGTCACTGCAGAAGCACAGAGGACCCTGATGGGAGGCAGGGACACCTGGAAGTTATTTATTTTTGCTGAGGCCCAGGGATGGCCGCCTCTGAGCCATCCGGAATACCCTGAGGAGGCCAGGGGAGACACTGCCCAAGAAGACCAACTTGGGTGGACTTCTGCCTCCAGGTCCTCTGGCTGGAGCCAGGCATTCCTGGGGCGTTCTCCCCGAGGATTTCTTGCCCTTGGTGGGAGGGACACCTGGTCTTCACTCAGCACTGGCAGAATTGCCCCCTCCAGGCCACTCTGCAGACCCAACTGAACGAACCTTCTAACTAGCTCTGAGCCTCCTACTGATCATGAATATTAAAGTCGGTTTATCAAGGCAAAGCTTCCCTGCTTGGTGCTGGTGTGGGTAGCAGGGGACAAAAGATTGGCTGGGCCTCTTTGGGGATGAGAACCTGCGTCTGCCCAGGGGGAGATAGCCAGGGTATATTGGGGGTCTTTTCCTGCGAGCTCTGCACGGAGCTCCAAATCCCGTAGCGGGAGTGGTAGCCTCACAGACCGTCGGGTGTGGGAATGCCAAACTTCAGGGATGGGGCTAGCTCCTTGTGTCCCCGGGGGTGGGTCGGCCCTTCTCTCCACCCCCAACCGGGGATCCGGTCGTTCAGGCAGATGCAATGAGACCTGCTCCTTCTCGTGCCGGATTCTGCCTGATGCCGGGGCGGGTTTTAGAAACTGCACCTTGACCCACAGCTCCAGGCCCGGCACAGCACCGCCTCCCAAGGACCCTGGGCTCCGCTATTGGCTGGGCTGTCGACCCCGCCCAGGCGCCTGCCTCGCTTGCCCCGCCCCGGCCTCAGTTTCCCGGCCGGCAAAACGGGGCGGGCTGGAGGCGGGGCCCGGCTCGGACCACGCGAGGCGGAGCCCGGGAGCTGACGCGACCGCCCCGCCCCCCGGGCCCTAACCGTTTGTCGCCGCCGCCGCCGCCGCCGCTGCCGCCGACCGAACGCCGAGAGCCGGAGGCTCGGACCCGAAGCCGACGCCGGGCGCCCCGCCTCCCCGCCTGCCATGGCCGCGCCCCGCGCTCTGGCGGCCGCCGCGCCCGCGTCTGGGAAAGCCAAGCTGACGCACCCAGGGAAGGCGATCTTGGCAGGTGGGCCCCTCCGGGACGCGGACCCCCGGCTTGCCCACTCCATCGGCCCCGCCGCGCTTCCGGGTGGGCCCGGGACGCCGAGGCCCCGCCTCACTTCCGGGTCGGGCGGGGGGCGCGGCCCCGGTCCTCAGCCAGAGCGTGGGGACTCAGCCTGCGGGTCGTCCCGCCGAGCCTAGCCAGGACAACGTGGGTGGGGTGGGGGAGGCTGCCGGGCCTCCCCTACACCAGAGGAGCCGGACAAAGTCCGGGGCGGGGGAGGGGCCGAGGCGCCAGCGGCGGTGGGCGGGGCAGTCCGACGGCCAGACGGTGGTCTCAGGGTCCGGGTCTCTGGTCTCCGCAGGCGGCCTGGCGGGCGGCATCGAGATTTGCATCACCTTCCCCACCGAATATGTAAAGACACAGCTGCAGCTGGACGAGCGCTCGCACCCGCCGCGGTACCGGGGCATCGGTGAGTAGAGGGCTGCTGGCAGGGGACGGCACCGAGGGGGCTGGCACCCGGAGGGCACGGCCAGGCCCTGCGCTCGGGGGACAAACGAGGCGGGCTGTGGGGAGGTACGAAAGGTGGTCTCTAGGGCGGTAGAGGGTCGCTGAACGCCCCCTCCTCCAGGGGACTGCGTGCGGCAGACGGTCCGCAGCCATGGCGTCCTGGGCCTGTACCGAGGCCTCAGCTCCCTGCTCTACGGCTCCATCCCCAAAGCGGCCGTCAGGTGAGGTGGTCTCCGGTGGCCGAGGGAGGGCATCCCGGCGACTGCGGCCCTTCTCATCCCACTGCCTCCCATTCCCAGGTTCGGGATGTTTGAGTTCCTCAGCAACCACATGCGAGATCCCCAGGGACGCCTGGACAGCACACGGGGGCTGCTGTGCGGCCTGGGTGCCGGTGTGGCTGAAGCCGTGGTGGTCGTGTGCCCTATGGAGACCATCAAGGTGGGGAGGGTCTCAGCAGGTGATAAGGTGTGCAGAGGGGTGATGGGGTGGCGGGCACCATCCTGCCCTAGTGCTCCATGAAGACCATCGAGGTAGAGAGTGCCCTGCAGAAGCTGGGCAGAGTGTGCAGGAAGGGCCTCCTGTGGAGACTGGACTCTGTCCTGAAGGCAATGGGACAACTGACGTTAGGGTTTTTAAAAAGCTTTTATAAACAGAAAGCATAAGATAACACATGTTTACTGCCTAAGCTGTGGCAAATACCAGCAAACATAACTGCAGAGACTCTTTAGTAAGGCCAACCCTCTTGTTTCCTGGGGCCTTGTGTCCCTCGGTGGCTTTGGGTGGCTCTTTCCAGGTGAAGAGCTGCATCGCCAGCCCTGGTCTGATCTCTGTGGGCCCTGGGCCCGCAAGCCAATGGGCCAGGTATGCCCTTCAGTGGCGTCCTGGAAGCCACTGCCTTTGCTTCCCTCTCACAGGTGAAGTTCATCCACGACCAGACCTCCCCAAACCCTAAGTACAGAGGATTCTTCCATGGGGTCAGGGAGATTATTCGGGAACAAGGTGAGCTGTAATGTCTTCCTCCTCAGGTAGGGTCAGGTACCTTGGCCAGGCCGGCCTGCACTTCCCCTTCCTGCTTTGGTGCTCTGGTGTGCCACTCCCCCACGAAGGCCCCAGTGTGACTCCCATGCCTACCTGCCCCTAGGGCTGAAGGGGACCTACCAGGGCCTCACAGCCACCGTGCTGAAGCAGGGGTCTAACCAGGCCATCCGCTTCTTCGTCATGACCTCCCTGCGCAACTGGTACAGAGGTATGTATCTGTCGGGTCCGCTGCCCCAAGACTCCACCTCCAACCACTCTGAATTAGGCTCTTCCTCTTCAGTCCTCTCTGCCAGGACCCTGCCTCCTGGGGCGCCCATGTTCATTGGCTCTGGTCCATGCTCCTCCTAGCCCTGAAGAACCCTCCCTTTTGCCCTCCCATCATTTTCTGATTGCAACCCCCACCCACATCCAGGGGACAACCCCAACAAGCCCATGAACCCACTGATCACCGGAGTGTTTGGAGCTGTTGCTGGCGCAGCCAGTGTCTTCGGGAACACTCCTCTGGATGTGATCAAGACCCGGATGCAGGTGGGGGTGGGACCACGAAGGGGGTGGAGGGTTTGCTACGAGGGGCTGGGCTAGCCACTGAGCCCTGTGCTGTGCTGCTGTCCTGCAGGGCCTGGAGGCACACAAATACCGGAACACATGGGACTGTGGCTTGCAGATCCTGAGGAATGAGGGGCTCAAGGCGTGAGTGGGGGAGGGGCAGGGCTGTGGTCCCCACCCCAGACCCTCCCTGGCCTTCTAAGCAGGCCTCACCCCATTCCTGCTGCCAGCCCCAGGCTATCCCCTAGGGCTCCTTACCTTTAGGCACCTGCCCTTGTCCCTCCAATGTCAGGACCCACCCTCACTGCCCAGGCACGCTGTACTTCCTCTGCCTCCTCACCTCCTACCTCCCCCCAACCCCAGATTCTACAAGGGCACCATCCCCCGCCTGGGCCGGGTCTGCCTGGATGTGGCCATCGTGTTTGTCATCTATGATGAAGTGGTGAAGCTTCTCAACAAAGTGTGGAAGACAGACTGAGTCCCTTAGGGGGTCTGCATGGGGGTTGCCCCCAGGCACCTCCAGACCAGTCCCCACTGCCCTCGTCTCACGATTCCAGTGCAGTCGTGCCAAAAGGCCCCTTTTCCCTATTCCTTGCACTCCGTGGCCTGGGTCTGTACCCTGTAGCCATTGAGTCCACATGTCCCTTAGTGCCGTGTGTCCCCTGTGGTGTGTATGACACCACCATTGAGTCCATGTGTCTGGCCAAGGCTGGGTGACCCTCTGGCCTGTGAATCTGTGCCCACTTGTCCATGTGCTTACTCATGAGCCGTGTGCCTGTGTTTCATGTTCTGTGTCATGTGACCCTGTGCCCCGCTTCCCCGGGGTGCCCATGTGGCTTGGGTCCACGGCCCTGTAGCCATGGCCCGGTCCCAGCCCGGTGCCTTCCACCCTGGGCAGCAGGGGCACCTGTCCCGGCCTACCACAGCTGCCTCCGGGCCTCAGCCTGGCCTCGCCGCATTCCAGGGGCTATGTGCCCCCTGCTTCTCCCGCCACTGGCCTTAACTGGCCCTTGGGCCCTCCCTCTGCCCGGGACAGGGTGGCACCCGCCACTCTCAGGACCACCCTCCCAAGGCCGAATAAACCGGATCCTGTTGTAGCTTCCTGTCCCTGTGTGGGCCCATCTGTGCACAGGTGAATAATGACGGCCTTGCCTCTGCAAAGAGCAGGCATACCCCCTCACCTGAGGACACTGACAAGGAAGCAGGGCAGCAGGCAGGCCAGTGGGTAAGCCAGCTATGGCCAGTGTTAGCCCCCAAGAGACCTGGCACCATCAAACCAAGAAACATTTAGACTCTGTCCAGGCCATGTTTGTGGCCTGTGAGCTAGGTCCTGCAGGGTCAGCAGGTGGGCATGCCCTCAGGGTCACCTGGAAGGCAGCACTGAGTGGGCAGAGTGAACTGCCCCACACCAGGGTTTGAGTCTGGGAGAGAGTGCTGCTGGGCGCGCCACGCCCGGGGCACGCCCCCCCCCCCCCACACCCCGCCATGGTTTCTCTGTGAAGTGGTCTGTTTCTGGGGAAGTGCTTGGGGCATCCAATTTCTGGTCCCCTGAGTCTCTGAGCAGGGGGCCTTTCCTCACTCCTTTACCCTGGCTGACCCTACAGTAGGATGGGATAAACCAGGGCCCCTGGCTGTGTGGGGGCAGAAGGCACTTTCCTGTCCAAATGATCCATGGGTAAGAGTCATTCAAGGGTTTGGCTCAGACTGGGAAATAACTTGCCAACAGAGACTGTCAGTAAGCAGGTCTGGTCTCTAGAGCTGCTCCTTTAAGGGGAGAGTGTCCCACCCCCACAATCTACACAACACCCAGATCCCTGGACTCTAGGGATACAGGAGATCTGGGACAGATTGAGGGCCAGTTGTGGGCTTAGGGGGCACAAGGGAAACAGTTTTGAAGGACTGGCTGTGCACATTTAATGCTCTCAGGAGAAACCAATCTTGGCCACCACTGAGGAGAAAGGGCCCCACAGCAAAGCTTGCCTGCCCACGGGGGCCACAGGCTGTCTCCCCCACACACAGGGCATGCAAGCTCAGCCATAAGCCACTGGCTCTGGGCCTCAGGAACTTTGCTGTTGTGATGGGTAGTGCTGGCCTGTGGCACAGGCCACCAAGGCTAGGAAGATACACAGCAGGTAGCATCTTTGGGCAGTGGTAGGGAACAGAAAGACCCCTGGCTTCTCATTTCGTCACTATGCGACTTTGGGCAAGTCACCTAACCTCAGTTTCCTAATATGAACTGGGTTGACAGAAGAACCCACCCTATCCCCATAAGGTGCTTAGAACAATGTCTAACACCGTAAACCCTTGAACATGTAGCTTTTTTTTCTTGGGGTTACAGGAAGTTATTTGCAGAAGCTCCAGGAGTTTCTAGAGCAGGCCAAGCCCAGCAGCTGAGCCCTGAGGGGACTCAGTGATCTCAATAGTGACCTCCAGGAATGGTATCCATTCACTGACTGCACACCAGCATCCCAGAGGCCTGTCCCCTTCACCCTTCACGGAGAGGATAGGGCTGAGGCTGCACTGACAGTAGGGCATGTGGACTCCCACCCATGAACAATCGTCCAGGTCTCCTCTCCTGTGTCACACAGCACTACATGGACAGCAGGTAGCCCAGCCAGAAAAGACTAAACTGGATCTGAGTCCCCAGGGGCTGTGATTACAAAAGAGCCACCCACCCTGGTGGAGGCAACCCCACCCCCTTCATTTATCACCTGAATTAGTAGGCAGCCTCAGTTCTTGGAGCAAAGACCTGAGGGAAGGGGAACAGGAGGGGAGGGGTATCCTGTGTGCAGGAAAGTGCTTGTGGTGTCCAGGCTGAGAGAAGGCCAGCAAGGCTGGAGGGAAGTGAGCAGGCAGAGAGCAGCTGAATAGGCAGGCAGGGACCTGGAAGGAGCCCAGCTGCATTTAACCAAGACCTCATAAGTTGCAGAGAGGAGGCTGATGGCAGCTGCCCCTTGCCCTTGTGGTAATGGGGGTAAAGGGGCAGAGATGTGTACAGATCTTCCAAGTAACTGGGAGGTAGAACAGACTCAACTTCCAGCCTGGCCCTCCACAAACAGAGACGCACAGACCAGCGGTGTGGGGGAGGGGGCTGGGGAGGGGGGGGAGGGAACCCCAGGAGGTGGCTGGGTCTGCATATCAGAGAGGTAAGCTGAGGAGTGTGGAGACTCCTCCATATCCCATCCACAGCCAGAGCCTCTGTGCCTGGCTGGAAGCCACAGGCAGCCTTCACCATCTACAATGGCCTCAAGCCTGGGATCATAATGTAATGTGTCCAGGAGGGACAATGGCCTCAGAGACCAGGCAAGGGAGCAGAGGTTGAGGTGGTGGCTACTCCTGGGGCAAGGTTTGGCCAACCTCCAGCACTGTCCTCACCACTGTGAGACTGAAGATGAGTGTTCTGCACCCTTTAGTCAGAGGCCCTCAAGCAGCTGTCTTCCCTGCTCCCTGCTTCCTTGAACCCACCGGCCACCCCTGCCACTACTGCACAGGCATCCCCTGGATTTTTCCATGTCCTTGTGTAGGTGATGAATGGCAATCAGAGTTTAGTACACAAAAAAGCCAGTCACTACTGACAAATAGGTCTGTCTCCTTTTACCCAACAAAGAGAATTCTGTTTTTTCGGGGTGTGCCCTTAGCCTTTATAGCAAACACAATCTCAGTTGAGGATGCCAGAGTATTTTCTTGTCCTTTTACTTCCTACATATTTGCAGATTCCTTGGACGAGGGTCTTTGGTAAGGGGCACAGAATCAGGGGGTCTAAGAAGCTCCTGCCACATCAAAATCTGGGAACAGGGACTGAACACCCCAGGGACAAGGACAGGGATGCATGCACAATGAAGAAATGCCTGAAAGAACAATGGGAGGGCCACAGACGACACTCAGGACTGTAAATGAATTCGACCTAGACCAACAATGTGCGTGACCCAAGGAAAACTTGGTGGCCCCTGGTGTGGTCTTGTATCTCCCCTCCTATCTGGCAAATATCCCTGAGGGCAAACTCCCCGCCCTGCCTTCCCGGCTCAGATTGGGTCAGGCCCTGACCCTCCCCAACCGCTGTCACTTTTGTCTCCCGGCAGGCCACACCCACCTCCCACTTAATCCTACACTAAGTAGGCCTGACCTGGGAGGCTTGGCCACAGGGGTGTCTTCTTGAAATGACTTCAAGGGATAAACCATCCCACCCCCTCTGCTCCTAAGCGGTGCTCAAATGTAGCCTGCCACCCAACCCCTGGCTGAAAAGCACTGAAGACACTGGGGCTTTGGGCAGTTTTCCCACGCTGATCGGGTTGGGGTCGCCGAAGCTCTCTGGCCAGTCTGTCTGTCCGCCCCTGGGCACCCTTACACAGGCTGACCGAAGCCCGCAGCGCCTTTCCCACCCACGCCGCCGATGACCTGGCGAGGACCTCCCCCCCCCCCCCGCCCCGCCCCAGGGCTGTGATGGGGTCAAGGTAAATAAACTGCCCGCAGTTGTGACTCGGAGGCTTATCTGGCCGGTCAGACCAGGTCACGGGAAAGTGGCTGTGCTTGCCAGGACCGAGAGGAAGGTCCACACTCATGGTCACTCGTTTGCGTCCCGGGCAGGCTGCTAAAGGCCGCAGACCCATCAGGGCCTCTCTCAGCACTCCTCATTGGGAGGTCCGGGAACAGGGGCCTCTGGGCGCAAAAAGTACCCAGGAGGTTTCCCGAGGATAGGCAGTGAGAGCAGGGTACGCCGCACGCGCCCAAAGTGGAGCCGAGGCTGCGGGAGGCCGGGAACACCCGCGTCCGGAAGTCAGTGCGGCTCTTACTGATGGCGTCACGGGCGCGCTCCCGGCTGGCGTAGGCTCGCGCACGCGTTCCCCGGGGGGCGCGGCACGTGCCAGCGGCTTCTGTCGGCTGTGCTGTCTGAGCCGCCAGGGTGTCGGGAGGCGGATCGAGGTCACTGCCACCAGTCCCTGGCCCTTGTATTTCACTGCCATCGCCCTAACCTCTCCTGCAGCCCCCCAACACTAGGCGTAAGAATAGCCCAACCACCGTCGTCCACTCCCGAGTCACTGAAGCGCCAGACCCGGCCACCACCGACTGCCCACGCTGGACGCTGCCGAGGGCTGCTACATAGTAGCGCGTGAGGAAGTCCCATGTGGCTCACCCGTGTCCACTCCACACAGCCTGAGCTGGTGAGATGTCTGCCAAGTGAAGGAAGAAAGGACTTTCGACTGTGTGTTTTTCTCCCTCTGCATCTTTTTACTTCAATGCCCCATTCTCAGCCATGAGAAAGGGGATAGGGTCAGGGGATGGGACCAAGAGGGCTCCACCAGCCTCTCCAGTGCTACCTCCCTCCCCATCCTGCCTGCCTGGCCAGCTTCAGACCAGCTATCTGTTGCCAGCCATGGACTCCTATAAGACAGCGTCCTTGCCGCATCCCCATGGAGGAGGAGGAGGCCTATGGTCAGAGACACCCCTCTGAGTCTCCCACTCCAGGGGCCTGTTCATTAGCAACCCAGGAAGGGGCATGGGGACGGGGGGGGGGGGGGTCCCCTCACAGAAGGAACCTGTGAGTACAGGCTGCACAACTGTACAGTGATGCCTCCTAGCCAGACCTTTCCTCTTCTCAGTCAGCCCTGTTTCTCAGAGGGGAAAACCCCAGCAGAGACAAAGGACTGATCTATGGAGGCCCACGCCTACACAGTCCCACCCTGCCTCAGCTAGTGAGAAGGGGCTGGAGATAAGCTGTGGGGAGGCAGCAGGTGGCATCACATCAGTCATGACTAAATCAGCAAATAAGCCCCTCAGGGATCCATACCTTGAGAAGGGGCCCCTAAAGGAAAGATGGAAGGTCTGCAAGCAGTGGCTCCTCACCTATCTCCATCAGCACAGTCTGACCTGCTTCCTGGCCATGCATGATGGGGAGGGTGCTTTTCTAAGGAACCCAAACTCAGTGGGGAAGCTGTCACCCAGAGCTCCCAAGGGGTGATCAAGGCCAGAGGTTGAGGGATGGCGGAGGCAGCAAACAAGATGGGAAGGACAGAAGGGAAGGGTGGCCAGGGAGGAAAGGATGGTCAGGGACTGTGTCCCCTGGTTTCCCAAGAGGCCTGGAAAAGGCGAAGGCTGGAGCCAAAA